GCCTAGTAGGGACGTCTACCTAAAATGGTCGGTTTACGAAAATTGTTTACAAATGTTTGATCTTTTGTTGTATCGCATATATCCAACTCGTTTATTTTTGCCACTACTGAGATCCTAGAGTCGTTATTGGTGAGCTTTTCTACTCATAGGGGGGGGGGGGGGNGCAAAAACGTGTTTATTGATTTCCGTCAGCTCGCGGATTTCAAAGCAAAACATTTTGTTCGAAATTACAACCAGACTAGATGGCTAAAAGTAGAAAGATCTTTATACAAATCTATTATAAATAACAATCATAAGCCAATTTTTGTATTAATTCGTTTCTTTCGGCAGTTTAAATTTCTGTCCGCAAATCACAGGCAGCAGCGACTTCTTGCTAAAATCTTTCATGCTTGGTTTTCTTTTGCGCACTACACACTACTCCAATAAAACCTGAGTGAGCATGAATGACTTGTGACACAAATATTCAGAATAAGCGGTCCTCATTCGGTCAACGCATCCGAATGTACAAACAATCCGAACAGGTTCCACCCACGGGCTGTTTATGGATGAGCCCGTGAATGTGTGTAAAGTGCAGCTAGGGCTTGTGTTGGGCACGGCTACGGCATATGTTGGTCGCCCTTTGGGTTTCGTGCGTACAACAAACGAAAGAGAAGGAATTTCAGAGACTTAGCTGCCAGTGGTTTCTTTTTTCAAAGCTTTTGAAAATTTTGCCTAATTTTTCACACATTCCTTATGCTTTCTTTCCTCCTAAGTGTGCATTCTAAGTATTGTTTGGTAAGACCAGCGTCTCGTCACTTTTATTCTCCTAACTATTCCGTTCATTTTAAATGCTTCTCAATAATGCAAATTCCAAGTGTGTCAGCAACACGATTTTTTCAAATTTATTTGCTCTATCAAAGCACATTAGCACGTGCACGTTGAATAGACTTCATATAAGGACAGAAGAAACACTACTTATTCATTATCCCTTAGGATTATGCAAACCAGTAAAACAGTGTGGGGTAGTGAATGCTATACAGACCTCGGGACTTCCTTTTAACCTAGGTAGAGACTCCCATCTGGAGAACGACTTCGGCACAGTAACGGATGGTAACGGTCACCACTAGCCAAAACATGTGATGATAACAAATACCTTTCTGATGAAACGGAAATCAATATCACTGCTTTCGTGATCGTTATTGGCTAACTCATTCATAGAAAGATCAAAGCAATTATGAATTCACGAAATGACATAAGAAGTGTGGAACCTCTGTGATGTTGATTACTCACTAGAATTCTGTCTTAACAATCGAGTGAAGCGTGAATCCCGAAGTCACCAGAAGATGATATTGTCTTAAAATGAGGTACAGTCATAAGCAACGAATGATTAGTAAATCCACTGGGTCCATTTAGGCGTAGCGTTTCCAGTAAGAAAGGGAAGAAACAACACAAACCAAGAGATAATGAAGGATGACTGGGAAAACGAGCATGTGATATTGCAAATGATCAGGGTAAGTCTGTTTAGAGAGCGAAACGGATTCAACATACAGCCTATACTAAGATGGTTACATAACAGTAGCTTATCTGCCTGCAAACACCTTAACGAACACGTTTAGCAGTGATACGTTTGGTCAATGAAAATGGGATGCACTGCGCACGCCGAAAAGATCGGCCTATGTAAAACTGGTATCACTCTCAGACTCAAACGATTAGTTATAGGATGTCTTCTGTTCCAATTAGCAAACTTGCTGAAATGGTAGAAGCAATAGCCTCTTCAATTGCATGTCTACCTCAGTGTCATCCATATTTGTATAAAAAACTAAATCAATGATCAATCCATTCAATGGTCTCTTTAGCCTTCTGTCGGTACAATACTGAATCCATTAAAGTACTGCAGGATGTTCTGTTGAATGCCACAAGAATCAAAAATCGCTTCTCATGAGCTCACCAATCATCGAACTCACACATAACGTAAATAGTACGTCATCACAGTTGTACTATCAGTAGTAGCAGTGCTATGGTTCCCAAAGGCCTGCATCGGCTTGAGACTGCCTCCCTATTGAAAAACAGCATGGATAAGGGTAGAGAAGAGTAGACTGAACAAAACATCCAGTTTGCATTAGTTGGTTGGTATTTTCGTGACTGTCTCTTCGTCGGTGATCATTCGCCAAATAGTCTGTTAGTCGCTTCTGTAGTTGCCATAGGATAATCCTTTAATCCACTCGGAGATGCCCCGAGAATCCAACAATCGCTTCTTTATGCGAGCATCAAAAAACCTCACAAAATTGGTAGTGGGAGTAGTAATCGTTGTTCTAGTTTTAGTGGTAGTATTCATAGTAGTAGACCTCAAAACCTATTGCAATTTCATTCGAAGGGTATAACGAATTCACGATCATCTGGTACCGTATGTGTGAATGCGTGCTTTTTCTCATTTTTCAATCTCTTATAATCAATCCTATTTCTTTCTGCGAGTCTTTCTAAATTTAACTGTCATAATTTAATCGATTGCCTAACTGCTTGGTCGTGCCAATCCCGAAGCACACTTACGCCCACTCACACTTAGATATAATCAACTCCCTTTTGCGTTTATAGTTCCCTCTCTTCCCTCCGACTTAAAAGCAGTACCGTAATCCTACTATAGTAGTTTATCATTCGCGCGTTCTGAGTCACACCAGTGGCAAGATTCCAATCAAACTGCTATTGTTTACCCCTATTACAGACAAATAAATAATTGATCTTATTATTCATTTGGAGAATAGACTAGAACGAGTGCATGTCATGGTTAGTTCGCTAACTGCAAGCGTAAACTACAAAGCTCAGCGGTTTTCGCATTGATCCTTGATCCAGTTTTGTCATGATTCATATTTGACATTGACAGCTTTCATTAATTATCAATGAAATTTCTATATAATTTGGAATTCATTGAAGCAAATGTAATGAAATCTCCAAAATTGATTGCCGTTTTCAGTTACTCATTTCTACGGTGTATGATTCACGTACCTTGGAGACTGAAATTTGATTATGATCTGTGATGTCAGGTGGCGGATGAGAAATGCACAGGCTAGCGTGGCGAGTATAAGCTTTTAGCCATCTCAAGCTCAATGAAAGACCGAATAGGCTTGAAAGCTGTATATCTATCAAAGGGATTCTCGTGTGTTGTTCGAATTACCTTTGTGGAAAGCAGGTTTATTGCCAAAAGATGTCAGGAAAACCGAATTCAGGTTTGAGGATCATGCTTCAATCTTTGAATCACGAAAATAAACTTGGCATTGTGTTGTTAAAAACCGTTTGATATCACAATTAATCGTTAGAATAGGAAGCGAATTCTTTTTCGAAATTCTGATATTCGGGAGGTTTTGTAGCTGCAACCGTCAAGTAACTCGAAACCGATAAAATCCTAGAAACTGTCATCATCGGGTATTGCTTGTGTTGTCACTGTTATTCATGATCCGGATGACGATGATAATGATGATGATGATTATAATGATGTTACTTCACGTTCTTTACTGCAAAACTGAGAACGTGTTTTCTTTTTATTCATAGCTGGTTATTTCCAGACAGCCTGTATGGCTGCAGCTTCCTTCCTGAACGTTGACTGTATATTTGTATATTCAATAAATGAAAAAGAAGCAAAGTAACATTTATTTATTCATTTTATTTCGAGTTGCATTGAGATAACACCCTCTTCTAGTAGTAATCAAATTACATCCCGGCCGGCAAAATCCCTCTTAGTTATTATTTTTGGAGGAGGAATGGGAGGGAAGGTAATAAAATTTGAGAATTACTGAACTACTGGTTTCCTCTTAAATTTCATCTGACCAAGCAGACTTGAGACATTTGTTATGTTCATCAAAATCAATAAAACCGGAGACCATTTTAAGGTTATCCTTCGCAACCCCGCTCCTAAACAGCGTACGCCAAGGATGATGATCTAGTTCCCCACCAACTACTAAATTGTGTTCTATGGAACTCTTTTCAGCGTGTTGCGTTCCACAGGACATAATAAACGTGTGATTTAAGTCATATTCATCATTTGAACATCACCCTGGTCGTCACCCTTATTATCAACAATTGCAGGCCATGGAATCCATCAACTGAGTTTGGTGTTGTCAAGCTCACTAGGCTAGCCTCGACTCATGTCTCTCATTTGGAAGTAAAGGCGACGCAATCTGTCGGATTGGTGCGCCAATCAAATACATCGATTTGGACGCCTATTGGCATCCTGATGGAGTTCACTCACAGTCACCCCCATGTGTGGTCTTTGTGATATGTACATCGCCGTGCAACGCACCCTACTACATGAAACCAAAGATGAGTTGGGTACAATAGAAAACGATTGATATAACTCAAATAGTTGTGCGATTGTGGTCATGTGAGGTAAAACACTGACTGAATAGGGCCGAGTTATCTCAACACCTAAGATTAATGCTATGCGTTGTGTGTGTATTTTAGCACAACAGACGTGAGAAAGCACTGGTATGCAGCGCCACTCACAAGTGTAACATGTTTGATTAAAAATACAAGTGACGTTGATTAGTTGGATGAGTTCACCTGATACTGTTGCTAGTAATTGGTATTGATTATTATACATTTCGGATAGTTTTATTATATACACGATGGGGTAGCTATGTATAGATCACATATATTCACGCAAGACCAAACACTGTTAAATCATAGGAGCAAACATTACTTTTCGGCAACGGACGTCAAACGTCTCATTCAAAACATCAACAGGATAGAAAAAGCGTACGTTTTATTTTATTTTTCACCTTATTGATATTTCTAATGAATAATACCCATAATATTATTTAGTTTTTTTTAAACTTTTTATTGATTGATAGTACAGATAATGTGTACACTTCCAAGACTTCCTGAAACCAACAATTTGAACATCTTGTCTGATTTGAGGGAGTCTATTTAGCTCACTGCTGAGTTAAATAAGAAATTCAAAAAGGGTCAAAAACAAAATGACTGTGCAATAAAATGATAATCCTTATACTTACGTTACGTAACACATTCCGATGGAATTAGCTTTTGGAAAACTGGGAGCTGTGATCAATAGATACATACAGGTGAGCAAATGTTGGGTAGCAGTAGTGGTTGGATTCGAATAAATAACTTCAGGATCGACTTGATAGTGAACTTACTCGTTTGACCATACATGGTATCCTTCGAATTCCACAACCAGTTTTTGGTGCGAATCAGCCTTTTTGTTTCTCCAAAATTTCAAACAGAACGAACGTTTTTTAAATTACTGCTAAAATATTTCATAAAGTTTGACGTTTTTTAAATTTCGAACATTCGTGGCGTTAGGTTTCAAAAAGTTCAAAGTGATAAAAATATTTGATTTAGTAAACATTTACAGAAGAATAGATAAAATTTTATTCTATCCCAGATAACGGATATAGTGTTGACATGGTTCATTGTTTCTTACTAATAGGGGAAGTGAAGTGGGTCAATGTTCGAACGCAAATTTTTCTGAACAGAAGATGATTTTGACATAAACCATTGTTTTGTCTTCAATACGGTTTGTGAACCAAATGATCTTTTAATTAGACTAACAAATGGATTACATAAAATATCCCAACGTTTACCGGATCATGTTGCTAATGCCTGTACAGTAGAGTGTACCGGTTTCTATTTATCCGAATAGTTTGCAGAATGTGAACCGCATTTCTGCCCTTTGAGATTGTTGCTGCAATCTGCGTAACGGTGGCCTACGTATGTTACCTCGCAACCGCCTAGTCTCCTCTATGAGTTCACTGAAAACGACCTCAATCACAAGTATATGTGGGTCAAATGGGAATTATTGATGTTTTGTTGGAGAATATGTATCAGATACAAGCATCCTCTAGATTGCAAAATATGGAGAGGAGATTCGTGTAATTTAAAAACATTACTCATAGGGTTTAAACTTAGAAAGAAACACTTGAATAAATTGAAGTTCTTTAAATGAATCCAATTCAATTCTTTCCCTTGACAATATTTGGTTGTTTCTTGTATAGCTGCTGACTGTCATTGGAATCAGAACACGTGAGTGGTTTTCACTTTGATCTGCCGAGGAAATTTAGCATGTGGCCTATGCACGGACTCCCTCCATAGCTCATAGTTACTGTCAAACAGATATATTGCACCAAATAAAGAAACAAAAGGCAACGTTACATATCAGATTTGATTACTCATCTAAACAGTAGTGCTGTAAAGAATCTTGAATTTCAAAAGAGCATTATATCTGGAGTTCAAGCTTAATTTTGTAATATTATAAAAAGAATAAACAATGAACAACAGTACAACATCTTGATCACACCGTATACCATCATCACAAGACTGATGGTTAGTTAAATGAACGGTTTGATTCATGCTATTCTGCCGTGATCAGCTCCAACAGTAGCAAATAAAAATCTACGTGATAACGGAGTGACTCTAAACAATAGGATCATATAATGAGATGCAACATTATGCTTCGCTGTAATTTATTCTCTTACCGAAATTTGTAAGTATTTTTTGTTGTATTTATTTCTACTATTAAGCAAGCAAAGGTCATGATACGTTTTTGAAAGATACATTNGAATGAAATAAATGAAGATCATAGCTGCCACTAACATGGGGATTGAACATGTTTGTGGATGGATTTTAAATGAAGAATAATTGAAATTGTAAAATATTTGCAGTTAGAAATGTATCATGAAGTGATCCCATTGAAGTTAGTTAAGTAAGCAAAATATTAAGTCATATTTAAATGCATTCCTGCAAATTTCTTCTTTCCATGTTTATCGTGCTAATATTAAAGTTTTTCAACCATTCACGGATGGTAAATCGCTTTCTTTCTCTCAGCGGACAGATACTGAGGAGAAAGTACCGCTTGCCGAGAAATTTCGGCGTTTCTGGAAAACATTGACCAAACCACATTCCACATCCACACAGTCAGCAGGAGTATCTCTCAACTCATACGGAATGGCCGGTAGTGTCGCCAAACATCCGGTGAGCAAATCAGCATCTATGTCCGTGACAGGACCATCAAACCCGGTTGGATTAATCACCCCATCCACTGAAACGGTAGCTGATACAACCATCCTATTTTCTCGTGTAATGGAATTCTCTAAAGAGCGAAGGGGTAAAAATGAACCACCAAGATTTGAGGGAAGCTTGGAGAAAGAATATCGAGTTACGGCAAGTACCGTGTGTGAAGAAGATCAGATCGCTGATGGAGACGAGAATGCAGTCTTGCTCTCTTGTTTTGTTCAAACCAATGTACAGGATGTGGTCTTCTTATGGATGAAGGATAGCAATGAAATCTATCCGACTGATCGGTTTCTAGTAAGTGACACTCATTATAGGCGCGATTCAATTTCTTGCTCATCATCCTTAAAACATTTGCTGGCTCTTGCACACCTTTGTCTCTCGGCAATTTATAGTTATTGTTTTCAACCCACATGGTCAACTGTCTGGTTAACGTTTCTCACGCATGGACTCCATCAGTAACTAACCCAGTACCACCGCCAAAAGACATTAGGCCCCAAGTAATGTTTGTGTACGTACGCTACCAAAATTTTAGAATTCATGAAACGCGAATTTTTATTTTGCCTCCCCAGAACATATCCGGGAAATTTTTCAGATAGTTGATGGGTTGGCTACCTGTCATTATTCTACTCGTTCTAACTATTCCATCGTATCTCATACCTTGGAAATGTATTTGAAAAATTGAAAATAAAAATTTGTGCTGAAGCGAAGTCCAGTGGTTGATTGAATGGCAGAGAACGTACCCAACGTCCAGGGGGAACAAACACCAGGGTTCGTAATCCAAATGTGTAAGCGGAAGTGAATCAATCAACGCACAATACATACCTCAAATTGTAAGATTCCCTATCTCAAGGATACCATCGTATAAACGGAGACTAGCAAACAGTCGGGAAATGAAATTGCGCGCAGCCATCAAATCAAGAAATACAATGGTTGTTATTGAACAAAATAATTTGAATGCGAAGGATATGCAGTTGATGTCATGTAGAACAAATAATCGTTCCCACGAATCGTCAATATACATCGTCATGGTTTCTCAAATGTTTGCGGAGTTTTCGAAATACGAGTGACAAGATATACACAAACACACAATTAATGGGTGACGCATAACAAGTTCAGTGGCACACAATTAGGTGTAAGTGAACCATGTGACTGGTATCGGAGCATATAAGAGAAAAGGGCTGTGTCGTGGAATTCGAGAACGCACTATTGGTCATCAGATAATGAGATGGTTCGGGTTAGGAATATTGCATTGAGGTGTAGATTATAGATTTCACCGTCCTGTGTAATTTCAGTCAACATTATTGCAGAGTTCAACTGCCTTTGTTAAAACAGTCGCCCTTCCTTGGGAAATCAAAACAGGTAATGGTGCTCTAGCGGTCAATTTCACCAAATTATTGCCCCGGAGGACCTGTGTTCGAATCGCACCACTATTACCGCCTGACTTCTCTCTTTGTCAGTCCTTACATTGACCGTTTTCTCTTCCTGAAGATTGCATTGTCAGATATTTAATAAAAATAAGTAAAAATAAGTGATAAAAACTTTCTGGAGACGATATACATGTTATCCTTAGTTCGGTATTCCCAGGACATCATTCATGCCCATGGCAATTTTGAATGTTCATAGGCCGGCTTCGACTGTTTCTCTGTTTTGATGCAGAGTAGGGTTTGACACACTAATACGAGGTCAATTTTAACTTGAGTGACTGTAGAAAAATACCTAGTTATGTTTCTGTTTGGCAGTACTATCAACAGGACTAAATATGTATGTAATGCTCGCGTGTTTCTATTCTCAATCTCAAAAAGAATCGAAACATCCTTTATCGGATGAAAACATTCGGATTGATGTACGGATGAACGAAGACGTGGTGCATGTTGTAACAGTTTGCCGAACGGCGAGCCAGTGTACAATGTTTCAATCACATTGGGTCTTGATTGAAAACGTTTTCAAGGTGCCATGATGTGCTTGATCAAATTAGACAATATTTATTCAACTCAGTTGGGTCAGAACACACCATTTGGTCTATTAATAGACGGATATTTTAAACATTTAACTGACAAAAATACGAAAAACTCAAATTTCTCACATTGAATTGATCGACGCATGCTTCAGCAAGAACGGCATTCCCTTCTAGTAGAAGGTCACATGACAATGAGGGACAAATCAACCATTATTAGCAACAATCAATCAACGCGTCTTTGGTACACGTATGCAGGCACATGTGACTGAATGATGCCTCCACGATAATATTTACTTAATCCGGTCTTGTTTAAATCCTCACATCCTTGTTCTCGCACCGACCCCTAAACATATACAAACCAAAATTATTCGTGCAATGCATACTAGCCATTCAGGAAATCAGTTCCATATTCAATCCTTCATAATCGTAATGGCAACCGGAAACTGGTTATTCCCTAATCCGGTTTGATCAATATGATGATAAATCAATTTAAACTCGAGATTTCATTCGTTATCACTATGACAGTGGACCACTTTCTCCAATCACAAACTGTTTAACTGCAATTAATGCTACGTTCCAATTTTCGTTTACAATAGTGTTGGTACTTGGATTGCGGTCGATATGATCGTCTCTAGTGATTGATTTTGGCACTTTCCTGGCTCCAAAGAGGTGTTTTCTTGCCAGAAAAAAAACGCTTCCCTACAGTTTATTACATATTCATCATTGTTTAAGTCTGGTTGGATTGTTTTATTCAATTGTTATATTTTGTACAACTCCATGCACTAGATACAAACATCAAGCACCAGGTTGGGGTTAAAATGTCACTATTTGTGAATGGAATTCCTTATGATGGCTGACACTGTCTGGTGCTTGTAAAACTCGAATGGACCAATCCAAACATATACATTTCCCTAAGGTCTTTGCTATCTATTGGGTAACACCGGGGTTTCGAATTCCTAAGCGAAGGTTCGCCGTTCTGGTCCCATAATCAAACATATGCACTAGTCTCAACAAAGATGAACTTTTTATTTCCTGAGATAAGCTTGAAGAGAGAGTACAACAAAGCTAGGTTGCATGGTTTCCGCCAAGGCAGATTTGTTGCATCTTAACTTATACAACACGGCAGAAAACTGTTGTTGAATAGCACAATAGACTACACATGAATTCTAATACCGACCCCCGTGCGCCTTGGCCTATGGAGTCAGTTGCAATCAGAAAATATAAGCCTAGCCGGTGTACGCAGAAAGATCTGCTAATCTCACTGTCTTGCTTTGGCAGTGGTACAAGTGTGAGTCTCTGTCGTATCCCTGTGTAGCGATGTATTGTCCGCCGACAAATTGTAGTTTTCTGTCACGTTGTACCAGTTGAGACGCAACGAAATCTGCCTTGGCATAAATCGTGCAACCTATATTTTTTATGCTCTTTCTTCAAAAAGATGAAACAGCCGTTTGACGTGCTTCAGCGATTATCACAGTGGATCGATTATAAATAAAACTCATTCACATAATTAAAAGCTACATTCACAACCGTAGATAGCGCCCGGTGTCTGTACAGATCAAATTGGCCAATCCAAATAGAACCAGCTAAAACTCATTATAACAAAATTGTAACAAAATTCTCCGGGAAAAAGTCCTTTCGTGTAACATTTCTAAGATTAATCTCCTATGATTTGTTTTTCTGTAGATTTTGAGTCAGTCACGAGCCACGCTGCTTCGCATCAACTACCCGCGACTATCTGATTCTGGAGTGTATTCCTGTGTGGCAGCTAATCCTGAGGGGCGATGTGAAACTGTGACTAACCTCATTGTTGAGCCAGCAGTGACCGAAACCAATACCTCTGAAGAATTATCCGACCCCATCCCACCGATGTTTGATATCACCTTGACCGAATCGCGCGATACACAAACAATGAACCGAACTACAAGGTGTTCTTCTTTACTAGTGAGTGATAATCGTCGAAGCAAACGGTTTCGCGATAGCGAGGCTATTACTGATCGTCTAAACCGTCTGGCTACAGAGAAGAGCTCAGACTTAACCTCACCTCTGACTGCACCTCCGACAGCAGATAAACCGGGACGTTCCAACTCCAGTTCCTCATCTCCGCCGGACACCCCGGAAGAAGACAACGGGGAAGGCTACACAACAAGCAGTTCAGATTCAGAAAGCCAGACAGATATTCGAGCCTTGCCAGAATGTGACCAGCCACCACTTAGTCCACAGACCCTCGTACCCAACACTGCGGATGATGTTCCGGTCAAATCTTCCCTTCTTAATCAATCCACACCACGAGAGAAGAAAAACATGATTGCAAGTGAAAAAGTGAAAACATTCAGTTCACAATGGAGCCAACAAAATAGCGAATCAGTGCAAGAAGACTCAAAGAGAAATGAGATAACAGAAAGTCTGGTAAAATTCCCACGACCCAAGTCTGTTGTGGGATCTAATTGTATTGACCAGGGGGAGTCACAGTCCGCGATGACAAACTCCACGCAGTTTGAGAATCGACGTGCCGGAGTGCAGTTCTCCTCAGCACGTGATTCCACTGGTCAAGCCGGACAAAGAGTTCGGAAAATGGCTGCTGCATTTGAACTCTCGCAATCAACAGCAACAACGAACCAGTCACCGAGACGATGCTCGAATTCGGATAGATCAGGTGTAAAATCCCAGAACGTGCATCTCAGTGGTTTATCGTCTGAGATTATTGAGCCTAGTCGCCCTGCTTCGCTTCGTTTCAACAATACATCCACGAATATGGGCTCCCCGAAATATCGGTGAGTGAGTCATTTAGCTAATTTAGTTATTACTAGCTTCATATCGGACTTGTTGTGATTACGGCATGTGCGTCTGTACTCTTTGGTAAATTACCATTTTGAAATAAGTTGAGATTTAACGCACTTTTAGATTTCATTTGGTTTTCTCATTCAGCTGACTTGTTGCAGTTTTACTTTGTGTATTACTGAACACTGTTTGAGTGTAAGACTTCAGTAGAGTGAAACTGGAAATAGCTGTAATGCACTGTATTCATTTTCAAGTTTCAACCAACTGACATTATTCACAAATGAGTTTCGTGATATTCTGATCATACAGAAAACAAAATTCACCTCAAGCCGATTCATCGCTTTCACAATGAACATGATTCCTAATAATATTCGGTCTGGAATATAAACTAAAACTGCTAAACAAAACCACCTCACATGACTGCGTTTCCACATACCTATTCAGACTTCCAAATGTGTCATGTCTGACTGAGGAGTTCACGTGCACAAAAACACGCGGCACCGGACGATCGATCGACCGAGTTAGCAAACATGGGTCCGAAATCGCAAACTTGCCCACACAAGTGACCTTTCATATATTTCCTTTCGCACTGTTAGCCTTTGCTTTTATGCTCATTCCGACTGCTTATGTGTACGCCTACGAATGTGTTACTGCGCCTAATGAAGTAATTGTTAGAACAACGGTGCAAGGGGATTACAAGCACACTCCCATCTTCTTCTGCATTTACCTACCTTACAGAAATATATTTTGAGGAAGGTTACGTGCGATTCCTGAAATTCGTATGTACTTATAATATAATTTGTGTCTCGTGTTCATAATTGGTAAGTAAATTGCAAAACGATTGGCTCGCCTGTTCGTCAAACGAGTCTTAGAAGAGCTTAACAATCTTGCACAAAGATTAAAGAAATGTTAAAACGCTTTGTTTCATTCTTGCGATTTCTCACAATCCTCTCATTTTGTGAATCATTTTTGGGGTAACTTCTTTGGGCTTCATTCGCCGCCCAACTATAAGTGATCCCATTTCTCCATTCTATTATTTCGCAGGAGTACAACTGAACAAAGGAAGGCTCACGTTAAGTCACCTCGTGATAAGGTAGGTTTTCTGTTCTTTTACATGCACGTACCTAGTAGCTTTGAAGAGGCATTGTTTGTGTGAAATTTTCTTGCTGAGCGAACCACCCTTCATGAATTTTCTCTAAGCCATGTCACCATTATCCTAAAGAAAAACCCCTGGGTATTCGTTGACTCAAACCAGAGAACGTGAGATCACCTTCAGCAAAAAAACCCATTTAACTTAAAAAGCTCCTTTGTACACGTGTATTAACAGAAACTTCTGATGTTCTGCAAGATGGCAGGGAATAGTGCCGAGGAAAAAGAATCCGTGAGTCCAGGAAACAGCTAACGGAATCAAAGGAGTGCATTTTTGATCAATCAGAACAAGAGGTTTCCCAGATCTGCCAGTAACCTCTTACGTAGTAGTTTTACTGGTATTCCTATAAGGGGCTATCGCAGATGAAACGTTTCCTATGATATGTCAAAATTCGAAAGCTCCGGTACTAACTCCACTGAGTTCGAGGATCATTTGTTATTATTCTGCCTACGCCAACTAATGGGACCTCGAACGCTCGTTTTACAGTTGGTCTTTTTGCCATGTACAAGAGAGATCTGAATGATAGCTGACAGTTAAGATGATATTAATAGTTATCACATCATGGTATTGCTTAATTCTTTTCGATAGCAACAGCACAATCGGAGGCACGTGACAATCATTTTTCTGTCAACTCACCTGCACTGTCGGCCGCTCTGAGCAGTGCGTTTGGTCGTGGAAATTGCACAGCTGATTTACCCAATCAGCTATTGTTTCTTTCACGAGAACGTGTTTGATGAACACCTGATTGTGGTCGCTGCTTAAAGTTCATTGGCAGTTACCCCATGACGCCAGTCGATTCATTGCATATAGATGCTTATGAATGCATATGTGTATGCGTGCGCGCATACAATTCAATAACTACATTCTTGTTAGGTATCACCCGGAGCTAAGATAAGGCACAAAATTTGCCAGAAAACCATTCAGAGCAACCAAGGCAGTCATTACATGGATCGGTTAGTCCGATAACTTTTGTGTGTCCACGTTCGATTTCTATCATGTTTGCCCGTGCTCAAGTTCTGCTCTTGTATGCTAGTATTGATCATGAATGTTTACTTTTCACAGAGTTTGTTTGGTGCTTTGAGTAGTATTTTTGAACTGCTTATGTTGCATACATATAATTAGTTCATTGATTTCTTTTAATTATGAGTGGTTTAGAAATTCAGATCATTGCATATATAGTCCCTGTGGAGCAAATAAAGAGATTTTGGTTGTAGACGAGACCAAACTTGTAACAGCCAAAATTCAGTCAGAAAATACCGCAAATAATATATATTGGTGGAAGTTGGGAGTGTTCCCTTCTACCCCCCTCCCACTAACCACGCACACTTTCAATGCTCCATTGGTTCTTATAAATGCCTGCTACAGGTATTCCCAAAGATCTCGTCTTGACAACTTGTCGGTTATATATCAACATTGGTCTATTGAATGGAAACGTTTGCGTCATGTTAAGTTATCTCATTATCAATCTGAGTCTGTTATTTCTACGTGCCGTGAACTGACCTGATGTTCACTCCAAAATCGTTGTGTAAAAGTAAAACTGATTCTCCGTTTATCGTGAGTCTTCCTTTTAAAATCTAGATACTCACTTTGAGAATTTTCTGATTATGATTGTTATATTCCAGAGGTAACTAGTGATTTACTGAAATACAATGGACAAATCGGCCATAAGTACCAGTTCGTTCAACCCTAGAACACCTAAAGCGGTTTTTTAATCCTGTTTTGGCTAGTATTATAATGACTTTAGGATGATAGTACACATGTACCAACTTAGTTAATTTTACATCATTTACCTCATCAAACCCCTTGAAAGTTTCGGATTTTGCTTCTTAAATGCATTCTTTTCTTTTTGAACGTGGGAACGCTGCTTGGTCCTGGTTCACTATTGCATGCTGAACACCGAAAGGGTTAAACCCCATACAAATGAGGACTTACAAATCACTCATGTGAATTCGCAAACTCAACCTTAGTATTTAGAGTAGAAAACCCCTTCAAGGCACCGCCAGAAAATATTTAGTTTTGAGCCAGATGACTTTAGGGTTGCCAAAATCAAAGCTGGGTGGCGATGGCACGGTTTGAGTCCCTAACCTTAAGAAGAGGAAAACGACAGCAAAAACGAATTACACAGCACCACCGACACCAGTTACAGCAGTCCAAAACATTTAAATATCATCTTGATTTTTATTAGTATGTTATCGTATATCTCCCATGTCAAGCGCATCATGGTGACAGATGAACCCATTCATTATATATAGAGATCAGTAAAGAAAATCATAATCCTGTTGATTCTAGTTGTTGAACAGTCGATTGGTTTGGGTGATAAGCGCGTAGACTTTTCGCTGTTGTGGTTGAATTAGGAATGTTGAGCAGTAAAACCTTCAGGTTGATAAGAATTGCTTCAACTTTGTTGGTTAACTCTTCATTGTTAAGTTTTACTTTATACAATTTAACCTAAAGAGAGTAAAATCTTGTGGTCCCAACTACCCAACCATAGAAAAGATTCATAACTGGTTACATTGATAAATAAACATAATTAGTATGATTGGTTGTGTGAAAATCGTTTTTTAAATATTACTTGTGGAGCAATTGTGAGTAATGACTGATACAGAGCGTCGGGAATCTGATTCTTGTATGGAGTCATCAGCCCTGTCTACCATTTTGGAGTCCTGTCAGGGACTCGAATCCAACACTTGCGGGTTTGGCGCTCATATCCCAAGCTATGCGGTCACAACGGTCACAACACGGCTACACTGAAAATATTAGGGGGGATATCAGGGTCTTCGTACCATTACAATACCTTGTTGTTTTACATATATCGTCCAGTTTTCAGTGTCTTCTTTTGTTCAAGTGCTGAAAAGTCATAGGGTAGTTAACAATACATCTTAACCGTCCCTGCCAAAGATAGAAATATTCGTTTTCGTTTTATACTTTACAGAATTCAAACCAATCCGAAAAAACAGTTCACGACTCCGTCCTATTCATGGCTCGGAATGAGACTGCAGTGGATGAAGTAATTCCATGCAGTATTCAACCCGATCAGGAGAACGACTTATTATTACTCTTCCCGGTCACTCCGCTATCGGTGAATGCCCCCATTTCAGCCGGCCTCCGTCAATCTCTCATAGATATCTCACTAATCGAGGATACCCAAGTGCGTTTATCAGCCGTGAATGGGAACAAACAATTGCCTCTAACCAGTTCTCTGCCATCAGGTATTTCTGACGAAAACGTCTTTGAACCTTCATTCCGGTCACCTGACTCATCAGCTCCACAAAATAGTCACAGTCTGAATAGGGAAAACGAATTTCTGAAGAAAAAGTCTGCCAGTGTTCTATCTTTGCTATCCAGCAGCAATTCAGGTATGATTGAACAAATGTCCAATGCAGGAAACCTTTTATGAATTTGTGAATCGATGATAAAGAACGAGTTCTTCCATGAGAAAAGTTCCGTCTATTTAAAACTCGATGTAGGTTTGATTTCTTTTCATGAGTCTTTGGTAGTTACGTAGAAAGCAATATAATGATGAACAATCTCATTTTGATTGACTGACTGACTAACTGATTGACTGACTGACTGACTGAAGGATTTATTGAAGGTTGTTTAGCGAGGCACCTCACTGGGTCAATTGCCTAAAGGTGAGATATGTGAAAATCCATGCTCTGTTGCCGCAAGAAGTATTTTTGTAGCTTACAGAAAATGTGTCGCATTCATGTCTCTCAGTCGTAAACAACCGTTTATCTTTCATCTTCAGTTCCAAAACGACAAAGTTTACCCGGTACCATAGAATCTACTCCACTCGCTTCAAACACTAAACAGTCCGAAGTAGCAGAAAATTCACCACCAAGAGACTGGGTCAAACGTTTAGCAGCCTTTTTCCAGCGACGTCCCACACAGTTCAAGGAATCGCCAAAGACGCACTCTCTCAAGATGCAATGTGAAGGGGACTCAGGGCCTAAAGTACTGGGAGCCGATCATCAGCCGTGGATTAGCACCAATCCCCCTAGTTTTATTTCATCCAAAGGAGGAATGAAAGAAAACAATATGGAGGGTGGGTGTGAGAAGACAAAATCGGCCGTGGGACCCCGAACAGGTGGCCATAAGGATATTAAGGGAACAACATCAACCCAGCTATCACCAACCAGTTATCCTGTACCACCCCGAATTGAGATCAATTCTACTAATATAAATAATAATCATACTAATGATCCGGAAGTCAACCCACTAAGCGCTAGAGTAGGATATGTGAAACAAACAGTACATCAGTTGGAAAGACAAGTGACTCCGCCAATCAGTCCAAAGACCCCAGAGTATTACCAAACGAAACAGTTATCGGTACCCAGTGTTGCATCTCCTATCCAACGGACAATGCCGAAACCAAACAATTCGAAAAAGTTGACAAAACCAGAGGAAGTGAGAAAAGTTAAACGAAGATCTTTCATCGATCTGCCTGATTCGGCTCAAGGAAACGAATCACTTAGGGGTATGAATAAAAGTACCCTACAAATGAATGTCGTACTGATAAATCGAGCGGAGGAAATAGAAGTCAGACAGTCTCCTGTCGGAATGCGAAGAGCAGAACAGATTTTGAATCCATCTAACAATGACACTAATGAGAGAGCCCAGGTAACAATTACCAGGCGACCGGCATTAGCCCCGTCACTGTTGCAAAACAATGTGCAGCGGATTGCTAGCAACAATAATGATGAAAAGCCTTCAGAAACGGTTGCATCGAAATATATACCGAGTAACAATGTTGAGACCAAATCCACGACAGCACTGAAACAAGCTAATCAAACAAGTGGGAGTTCGCTCGAGCCCAATGTCAGCATTACAAGAAGTTATTCTATCGTGTCCCCTCGATGGACGAATTCAGGTGAAATCACTACTGGCACAAACACCACAAGATCAGATGAAGTGGACCGTAATACTCAATCCCTGAAAAAAGAAACTACAGAAACTGGTAGTCATACTGTCAGATCAACAGTCTTCACTAGCACCACACAGTTCGGCAAAAACTCGTCAAGTACCACCGCAATGAGTACCTCTTTGAACAAGAACGCAGACGCAGTCACAGGTGATAATATCAATGAAACCAACAATATTACCACCAACCGCATCACTCCAACAGAAGAAACAATCCCAACCACCATCAGCATCACTTCGACTGTCAAAGCCCATATCACCACCCCTATCGCCAACAACACTGCTTCAGCAAACAAGACAGCTACCACAACCAAGATCTACCCAACACCGAGTCCCAAAGTTACTACCAACCTATTGTGCAGTAACGCCAAACGCAATGAGACCGTCAACACCCCAGTAAGTCGGACTACAACCAACATCACTGAAAATAACTTTGACCTCATGGGCACCAAACACAATATGGATAGCAGCGGTTTGATTGCTGCATCTACTGTGTGGAATAAACCTATGGATTTCACTATCGATAATCCAAAACTACCTCCGATTCCGCCTCCTCACCATCCTGGTTCAAGCACGGCCATCGCCATGTCAACTAGGATGGAAACTACACGTCCTGGACAATTGGTGTCATCGGAAAAAACAAAAAAAAGCAGTCCAGTACAAGCGGAAAGTACTTCGCTTGTCATGCAAAACAAACCAAAATCTCAAGAGGAAATCACACCAAAACTTCAATCCACACCATCACAACTGTTGCCAATTGCGAAATTGATGGAAACGTGTGAACGCCAAGAAGTGAGACGCGTGAATCTTGAGGAAATGCGGGCATCAGTATTAAAACTACCGCAAGTACCCTTGTTGGAAGAAGATGAAGAAGCCAATGGTGAGTGTAAGTCCACGCATGTCAATCCGAACAGTATACTTATTGTGCCAACGCAGTTCTGGGGAGTACTCTATGATAACACAGCATGGATAAATATTTACTTTTTCTATATAAGTTGTATTTGTGAAAACACAGAGATGTCAGTACAGGTGAAATAAGCCGACGTTCCGGTTACCGTGAATAATTTTTTATCAACCGATTTTGCAATTGAATGAGTCAGGAAGAGTTTATCAATTGAATTCTTATGCACGCTGTCTATGTGTGTGTTTGCGTGTGTGTGTGTGTGTGCGTGCGTTTGTATGTAAGTCTGTGTCCGTGTTTGTGTGAACGTCACCGATCCGGATCGGGTGTTGGGCACCTCCGTTAATGCAAAGTTTGTCTGTGTGATCGGGTTTATCCGAGGTTGAATCAGCGTTAGGAATATCCAATGCAGGCGCAGGACCAAAGCAACTGCAAGGATTGCCCAGTAGAATACATTAGACAAACTTACAGACAGCTTAGGGTGAGAATCGCCAAACATTAAGGAAAAGAAAAGTCAAGATCAAGTAATGCCACGCAGTTCAACAAATTGGAACGAGATTCGGCAATCGCACTTTGTGCCATCGCCGAGGGACACCATATCGACTATGAAAACACGAAAATCCTCCAACGAGGTTTTTGGACAAACACCGAGCGCCTATACGCTGCGGCTTTGGCAATTGGTGCCCATCCTGGCTGTATAAACCGAAACGACGGGGCAGGGGTTTCGTCCGTCTGGACAGCGTTAACGTCACTTGTCAGCATTCGTCCTAACGCTGATTCAAGCTCGGATATTACACTATTTATCTCGTTTTTCATTTGTTGGCTTCATGTTGGCGTTACAACATTCCACCAATCAAAAAGTTTAGTTTTCGAATAAACTATATGACTAAAAGAGAAGATTTTCAGCATTTCAAAATCTGTTACATTAGACAAACACTGATTAAAAACCAAGTGTAGGACATGAAGCATCAGAGCACAAAATAACCAGAATCCCCGCGAAATCTATTATATACAGGGAATGATACTGATTTTTTTTCGGTTACCGTGACCAGAGAGAGAGAGAGTTTGTTTTGGACAATTAGAGACCCTTTTGATGCAGTCGCGCTATCATCATACCAATACAGAATCCAATATATGCTGCGGCTGTCTAGCTGATACCGCTATCTCTAGTAGAGATACGGTGAATTCGGGCAGGAGATAAGCACTATTGTCTATGCCTAATTGCATGATTCTTATGTACCAACCGGTAAAAATAATCCCCGATTCGGGTAAATATTATCAAGAAGTCGTGGCTACTCGGAGGAATAAGGTGAAATGAGACATGAGCTATGCAATTCATATAAGGGTCAGCCAGCTGGTTGCACAAAATCAACTGAATAAAATAGCGCAGCCTTGGTTTATCCGACGAATGCTTATTCACCCACATACACCAAATTGGTTTTTCAAAGGTAACTTATCCCCTCAATGCAACACCAAGTAGCAGTTCTCATAACTGAGACAGAGTTCATGTAGGAATAGTGGAGTTTGGGCTGATCAGTTTGCATATAAGGAAAGAACAGTTACAACAAACGTACCCCAAGTTTAGTTGTGAACCTACCAGAAAAGTTGGTCAGTTTCTTCCGTAAGTCAATCATTTTCTATTCCAGGGTTATGATAATGGAGAGATACCAAAGAATAGTTTATTCCTACATTCATTAAGCAGCGATTGAGACAGCTTAAAATCTTGAAAATTGCTTCTCCACGCACACACACACCACCTCAAACCAAGTTAACCGATTATCTCCCTTCAACCAAGAACCCGATCACGTTCAAAGCCAATAGCACTCCCCCCCCCTCAGTTTCATATGCAAATATAATAACAGATTAAATACTCAATGTTTTGAATGAACAGTAATTCCTCATCAGTCCGTTAGAGCACAAGGGCAAACATTCGAACACAATCCAAAGCAATTTCCGCCTAGGATCTGTTGGTACAGTTCTTGTGATGATCAATTTGGGGGGGGGGGGGC